CAAACCCGGCCCCACACAACCGCATGAATTTAATCGAGTTTTTCATTTCGTGCCAAATATTCAAAGAGATCTTAGAATGCGTTCAATATCTACACGAATTGAATCCACCGGTCATTCATCGAGACCTTAAACCCGACAATATTTTGTTGGCCACACCGGAGTCAAGTGAGCAGGGTCGGTGTTTTAAACTGTGCGACTTTGGTCTGGCTGCTGTTCACGATATTGCCGGCGCTAAACATACCGGCGCTGTCGGCACTTTAAGATATATGGCACCGGAAGTTAAATTAGCTAGCAAATATAGTAACATGGCAGATATTTATAGCGTGGGAATTGTAGCTCACGATGTATATGGTTGGGTATTTTACGAGTATGTATCTAGATTATTTATTTTATATGTATGTTTAATATAAAACTTTTGAATCTAGATATTTTATTATAAATAAAAAAATTAAGTTATTATGAACTTGTTAAATTTAATTTTTTAAAATTTATTATTTATTATAGCGATAACAAGCTTGATACAATTTATGGTGACAGCAAATTATACAATCATATAGTTACCATGGATAATTTAATGCAACAAATGATTTGCTTAATTCCCGATAAAAGAATTTATATAAACAAGGCACTGTCAGTATTTGATAATTTGACAAGTAAAATAGATGATTTTAAAAATGATACTTGTTACGATTTAATAACAAAGCCTCAATTTAAAAATGAAGATGACGAACGATTTGCCTTGGTGCATTATGTTTGGCTTCAAAAGCTAGGTTTTATTAAGAAATAGGTGTCAAAATAGATTTTTTACCAGGTACACATTTTAAATTATATTTCAAAAAATTATTAATTTTTGTATGAATTAAATTTTTCCATTACTTTAATTAAAATTAATTGAGTAAGGAAAAATGCAACAAAATTAAATGTAATTTATTTGAATATAATTAAAATTGACAATGTAAAATGTCCATTATTTTTATATTGTTCACATATAATTTATATTATATGACAACGCACATAATAATTAAAATTATTGGTAACAAAAATAATCATGATATATTTATAATAATTAAATATATTTAAATAAAGGGTCAAATCAAAACTGTTTTTATTAATTAATGTATAAAATTGTTCATAAATAAATAATAATAATAATGTATTTAATTAAACTACACATATAAACTACACAAACTACAACTAAACCTAATTAATTTATTATTTTATCCTAGGATAATTTATAATTTTTCTAATTTAATTAAAATTATTAAACAATATCAAATTATTATATAAACAAGATCCTTGAATACAATACACTGCAAAACATGATCCATTATCAATACAATCAATGATTGATTTGTGTATTAAAGTTAGCCTGTAGTTTAATTAAACATAAATCTATTTATTTTTATTTTATTCACATTAATTAGTCCATTGGGTTTCAAATGTGAATAGTATGAGCTATTAGATAGTAATGTTACAAGTATTAGAAAATGTAACTATTTGTAACCCATCAATTTCAATGAACTAGTCTATACCATTGAGACAATTGTTCGGTATACAGTGTACTTTCGACAAAGTTCACTGTATCAAATGTCACTTGATCAAAATGATTGGTTCCCAATGTGCCTATTATATTGTAGAAGTAAATCTTATATGATTTAAAATAAATTTTGTTAAATATCAATTCATTATAATGTATGTTGAACTTTATCATGTACGTATCATATGTACAGGGCGTTGACAGTGTATTGCCACTAACTTGTATAGCACAGCATAAATTCCTAGTATAATCACTACATCAGTGTATAAACCAACACACTATCTATTATTCACTGTTGTCTATCTATTGACCACTTGATTGTATTGAGTTTGAAACATAATAAATAGCATTTTAAAAATATCTTTAAAAGTGTCTACTTTTTGGGCACTTACCCTACGGGCCGGTGACCTAACCTATACATAACTATACATAATCTTCTGACTTCTCAATATATAAGTTATGTATGATTAGGTTTCTCTAGTTTATCATGCTGCTCATAGAAAAACAAAAATATTTTGTGATATAATAATACAATAAAAATAGTTCATGTAGTAGTAATTGTTACACAACGACCGAAATGGTTATATAAATTGTCCTGATTATCAATATATTTCTTTCTATACAATAGATTAATATTCAAGTATCAGCATATTAACTATAGAGCCTGTACAGTTCAAATTATACAGTTTGTCACAACTGTACAGTTTGTTATGTTTAGGACTTTTAGACTAACTAATTAAATGAGAATAATTGGACGGTTATGGCATGATACATTTACAAAGATCAAATTATTTGAAAAATCATAAATATTTATTCAACAAAGTCGTTTTTGTAAACTTTTAATCGGTATTATTTTTTGATTGAATAATATAAGTGGCGATAAACCGATAAGTACTCAAAATCTGTGCTATCAATCGGTAATGAACTTAACACTTAACAAAAGAGGTAAACACAATATATTGTTTGCAAAAAAGTATAAATACTCGACACACAAGTAATAATAGTTAACAAATATAATTTGAAATAAAATTATAAACAATATCCTTTTACTCGTATAATGTTTGCCATCAAAACTGCTGTGATTTTCATCGCAATTCAAGGCGTGTTTCTGACCGGAGATGACGTTCACGTAATCGACAGTAATATCGACTCAAAGCAGGAGTTGTTTGTCGTCTCAAAAGTATTGGACTTTTTGGAGAAAGGGATGACACCTCACGATATGGTGAAAGGGATGGTAGACCTCATGGACAGTCAGTACGACTCGGGTTGGATCGGCAACATTAGGGTCGTCGCCAAAAATGATGATTACGAGCTGTATATGAATTATAAAATACTTTCATATATTTTCGTTGAATACAAGGGAACACAGTTAGCACTCTATAAGACAAAGCCTATCGCCGATATGAAAACTGTAAGTAGTCATAATATATGAGAATTATATTTCATATAGCTCATTTAATTTAATAATAATGTAGGCTACTAACTAATTATAAACATTGTCCACGTAGATCACGTTGAAAAATATTGAGCTAGCACGAAATGCCACGCCAACCATTGTCGAAAAAGTTGATGATAAATTCGGAAACTATGGCTACGACTATATAACCAAACATTTTAACGAATTAATTACTCCGGAAAAATTGAGCAAGTGCACGGCTAAAATGGCAACTAGGACAGACACCGAAAATCCGTGCTACAAACAAATTGCCTCGGACATTGCCAACAACTGGCTAAATGGTTATTGTGCGACAGCCGTGGGCGAACACGATGGCCATGCTACATTTGGCCAGGGCTATAGTACTCCGTTTTATCGATTTGTGAAAGGACCTTTATATATTGAGGTTGTCTGGTATAGTACACCTTGAAAATATTAAACTAACTAACACAAAGTTAAACTAAAATTGTTAAAAATATACATTTTTATTTAATAATAAAATTGTTAGTGCTTACATAATAAAACCGTATTATCTAGTTAGTTTATTTAAAATATTTGTCTACTGTAACAAACATTAAATGAATTACAATTAAACAAAAGTAGTTTATTTCAATAAATAAAAATAAAAATTCAAATTGCTGAAAATATTAACGATTAAAAATGTGGTATATATATTTAAATAATGCATTTATATAACAAAATATTAATTATTTTTAATATATAAAAATATATTTTAGACCTCACTTATAATTGTAGGCTCATCAACCTCACTTTACACCGGCATGCCGTTGCCTGTGCGGGAATACGGTATTCAGATTTGAAGATAATGTTTTATGGGACGACTCATTATTATGAAGTAATGGAAAAGTTATTTTGTCATTCAAATTGTGAAAACACATTAAAAATTAAAATAAAACTTTTTTCTTATTTATAAACTTTTCGAAAACCGGTTGTAATACAAAAAATGCAAATCATATGACTTTCAACTCGTACACGAAACTCATATTTTGGGTTTTATTCAAATATTATCTAAGAATTTCATATAAACATATTACCCACACATGTATATAATAAACAAAATCAATTGATAACTAAAAGAATTTTGTAAAACTACTTCAAATGTATATTAAGCTACCAAAATAGTGTAAATATCTTAACCATAGAATTTGAGCTAAAATTATGTGTAAGAATATTACTGTTAATTCAAAGGATTTTGTTTATAATTCTTAAAATATTTTATGTTTATTTTCTCATAACTCTCTCTCTCTCTCTCGTTCACTCACTCACACTCACTCACTCACACACACACTATGCATATTTTCAGCCCTTTGCATTAATAAATAAAAGTTTTGGCAAATATAATGCAAAACATTAATAAGAATTGAGAACTTATTCATAGATTTTGCGATAACTTAACGTTTTCAATAAAATCAGTACTACCAGTAATAATTAATTAATAATTCCCATGGTCATTTCTTATGTAAATCGTTGACAACATAACTTATAGAAATAATTCCACTTAAAACTTATGAATAATTATTTAATAAATAAATTTAATAAATTTTGATTGCACTGAAGGTTATTTTTAGTGGCAATAAATTTTTATTACAATGATACGATAATGCGCGTACTAGTTTTATGTGGAAAATACTTGTACCAGTATAGTAAGTTTGCATAAACTAATATTTTTCAAAAAATTAAATGTGGCTAAAATATTTAAATGATTTAATCATTTTTAAATTAATATTCAAAGTTCATTTTAATAACAAACAAATTTAAACTAAGTGCCGTTTACTGGGATTTATTTATTAAAGTATAATTAAAGTATTTTATTAATATGTGGCATGTTCATTATAAACTTACTTTTATAAAATTTGTAATTGTATTTTTAAACATGTAAAATTTTTATGCAATTCATACAGGGATGACATTAAATGACTCCCCTACTTTGAATTAAAATAATTTTAATACCATGCAGTTTATTTAAAAATATTTATTACCAAACGTCGGATGTAAAAATTTATTGCCACTAAAAATAACATTCAATGCAATCAAAATTTATTAAATTTATTTTATTAAATA